TTTCCTCTCATCTTAAAAACTTAGCAGTAAAATTGTGTAGATCAAATGGGATGCTAGCCAAAATTTGCCACTATGTCAATTATGAAACACTACTTAATATATACCATGCAATTTTTGGATCTCATCTTAGATACGCTTGTCAGGTTTGGGGACAATGCAAGTCTAATGCTTTTTTAAGGTTATGTAACCTACAAAACAAAGCTTTAAAAATAATATTCTTTCAACAGTATCATTCTAACTCTGACATCCTTTACTTTCTATCAAAAATACTCAAATTATGTGATCTTGTTTATCTATTAAATTGTCTATTTGTCTGGAATCATAAACAAGTAAACCTCCCTCCGTCATTCTCCAATTTTTTTACCACTAAAAAAAGTTCTCGTTATTACCTTCGATCTTTGAGTAACTTTAAATTATCTATCCCAAATCGCTGTTCGGTAAAATACGGTGATAATTCTATTACAAACCAATGCGTAAAATCATGGAATAATTTACCTTTTCATTTTCAATCCCTCAACACTTTTTCACAATTTAAAACCCGTCTTTTTGACTTTTTGATAGAAAAATACGCAAATTAAAATCTTAGGCTTAAAATAGATTATTATTACTATTGTTATTAGTATTATTATTATATGTGATGTTAATATTACTTACATTTTATTTGCATTTTTATTACCGCCATTATTACTTATTGGAATTGTTTAATACATGAATGTGATATTTGTTAATATTATTATTGTTGTTACTATTGTTGTTAACTTCATTACTATTATTATTATTATTATTATTGCTTTTGTTATTATAATTACTGATATAATCATTGTTATTGTCATTATTATATTTAATAGTATTATTGGTATTATTATAATCGTCTTCGTTTAATTTACATTATTATTATTGTTATTATTGCTATTATTATTATTATTATTATTATTATTATTACAATTGCTATTATTGCTATTATTATTACTATTATTATTATTGCTATTATTATTATTGCTTTTATCATTATTATTATTATTATTATATGATTGCTATTATTATTTAATTGGTGTTTACCTTTGATTAGTACTCGTACTATTAGTAAACTACCATGAAATGTAAACTATTATTTCAGAATATATTGTTATTGTTATTGTTATTGTTATATATATAGGTATTACTTATATATACGCTATATATAGGTAATACCTATATATATATAGGTATTACCTACATATATATATATATATATATATATATATATATATATATATATATATATATATATATATATATATATATATATATATATATATATATATATATATATATATATATATATATATATATATATATATAGCGGTATTTTGTATATATATATATATATATATATATATATATATATATATATATATATATATATATATATATATATATATATATATATATATATATGAGTTTGAGTTTGATATATTCAGTAATCAAATTTATACATTTAAACCGCAATAATGCTGTAACAATAATTAAAAAATATATACATATACATATGTATATATTTAAATGTTAAATTATTTATTTGATGAAGAGACTTTTCCAGGAGTCTCTATGCTGATTTAACAGTTTATCGCATCGAAATCCGATCTTTAAATGCATTTAAAGATGGAGCGTTTACCGCGTGCTGTGTGAGAGAGTTCCAATGGACCGCAACTCGGTTTGTGAAAAAGTTTGATCTCTCCTCACATCCTCTTACGAATTGACGATCAAGCTGCTTGTCATGGCCGCGTAGGTTGTACACCTCACGCCCAATTAGTTGGTGCTGTGGGACCATAAATTGAACTTCGTCATACATTGCGTCTCATTTGTGTTGCTTAAGGCCGTTTTCCACAAGACGAAAAATTCGCGCGAAGCGAATTTTTTCGTCGTTAAGCATGCGCAGATTAAACATTTTTGGCGATTATACCGCTACTGCGTTTCGCTGCAGCGAAAAAAAAAGTCGAATCCATTTCGACTTTTTGCGAATCGCCATAATAAAATTTTGAATATTATATCACGTGATGTCAACATTAAAAAAAGCAAAAACATGTTGTTTTTAAAGTAACAAAAAACAAAATTCTTAACCTGGCGTTCTTATTAATTTTATATGAACTTACTCTGAAAATTGGCTAGCATGAGTAAATTTATCAAACAAGGGACAAGACTTACATAAAAAAATGACCAGACTTATATATAAAACTAAATTAAAAATTTACAAATATAAATTTTCACACTGTCAATTACGAAAGTTACACTTCATAAGAATGTTTATCTTCAAGTGGCCACACGAAGATAAACCTTTTTGTGAAAAATTCTTTATAGAGTTAAACCTGCTGTTCGTTCTTGCAGTAATAGTTTTTAATAGAAACGTTCATATCAGAGTTTAGCATTTATTTTCTTATACTTTCTTGTAAAAAAAACCTTATATTAAACGATTATATTACAAAATAATATCACATCTTACATATAAAGGCAGAAATGTTAATATTAATGCACGGAAAGAAATTTTCACATGCTTCAAAGTAGAAAGTATGCTAAAAAAGTATTAACTGCTTTCAGTTAAATATACAGCGTAAACTTATTGCTGCCATTTTTATTGTTGACAACGAAAAAAAGTAGCGCAAAAGAAAGTAAGTGGAAATCAAAACAGCGTTTCGTCGTAGCGAAAAAATTCGCTTCGCGCGAATTTTTCGTCTTGTGGAAAACGGCCTTTAGTCGTATTTTTTTTAAATACAACTAAGCAACACAAATACAACATAGATGCATTATTAGACATTCTTTAGAAATTCAAATAAGAAAAAACGGCTTATATAAAACACTCTTTTCTTGATTTTTTACCGGCAGAATTTGTTAATATATATCATCATATGACAGAGTCTTAGCTAGCTCATTTTCCACTGAACACATCATGAGATCCGAAAAACGTTCTTGTCCCATAGTGACCCTACAATAACTCTTTATCATTTTAAGTTTACTGAAGGATTGCTCACCCTCTGCAACAGATACTAGCATTGTATTAAAGATTCGAATTAAAATGCATACATATGGAAAAATAGGCTGCAGACTCTTTGAATGGTTGAGAAGGCTCAATCAGTTTCCAGGAATAAAAAAACGAAGACTCCTTCAAACGATTAAGAAAAAATTTCTTGTATGAAGTCGTCTTCTTTGACATCATTAGCGTAGAACTGTGCTAATTCACGAGCTTTTATCTCTTGAGAATCTGGTTCTTGGTCTTTTAACCAGATGAATGAGAATCTTGAGGAAACATTCTTTACTATATCAAATCTTGAATGAACTTGATAATTAAAATGATCAAGAGCAACGTTGAAGATATTTACCCCAAATTGATGCTCGGGGCTCTCATAGCAGAAAGCTGCATTTGCAAGTTCATCGTGATACCGTTTCGCTCTCTTCTTTCGTTTTGTCAAAAATTCCGTTTTCAAAGCCTAGAGGACCTGCAACAGTTTTCGCTTCAGTCAAAATATTATTCCATGATGAGCGGATACGGCCAAGATTGCTTATTAGCTGTTGAATTAGAATAACTTCGTCATCTATTGTTAGTGAAGTTGACTGGAACAAACGGCTTACTTCATCTGCTACTTGAAGAACTTTATACCAAAAGTTCAGAAGTACAACAGTTTCAAAGGATTTAAAAAACTTTATTAAAGACTTAGCTTGATTTAGCGTGTCAAAAGTAACGTCAAGATCCTTTATAGTACGATTAAGGGCAGTAATTATTTCCCGTGGTCGTTTTGCTATTGGCTTAACAGCGGCAATCCGAGCTGACCACCTTGTATTGAAAAGCTTATGAAGAGTCAATTTTCTTATTTCACCTTTAAATAAGCAGGTTTGACATTTGAGATGCAATTGCATAGATTGACATTGAAATATGCACGTTAAAACTTACGTGAGATTTAATGCCGAAATGTAATACGTCGTCACTTTCATAATATGCATTTATACAAAAAAAGTTCTCTCTGAAAGCAAACTCACTGCACTAAACATAATAGCCGTAAACATCAAAACCGACGTTGTAAATTAAATAAACTTTTTATTTATTTCATAAAATTATACTATAAAAATAACATATAAAATCACAAAACATTTGAATTAAAAGTTAAACATCGTATAGACACTTAAGTTGGCATACGTGCCCCGGGCGCTAAAACTATAGGGGCGCAAAAAAATTATCATTTTTTTGCGCCCCTATAGTTTTAGCGCCCGGGGCACGTATGTCAACTTAAAATACAACGTTGAAACAACGTAAAATATAACGTTGTGCAAACTAAAAATAAAACGTTGGGCCAACGTATAAAATAAAACGTTGAATTAACGTAGAAAATTTTTTCAAAATATGTATTTGAAATCTAATATATCAAAGTCCATGTTTAGTAAATGCTGTTTTAAATCAGCCTTGAAACTTTTCATTGTGGAGTTTAAGACAAATTCCAGTTTATCATTAAAAATTCGAAGAATAATTTTTCCAAACAAAAGGTCCACGATATTGAATTTGGTAAGAACTTATTTTAATATGGGTTATGGGAATAATTTATGAGAAACTTCATTAAATTAAGATTGGCGATAAACACGCTTTGCTTTGAACATAAATAGCAACACTTATAAATAACCATTTTCCGACTTTAAATATACTGTTTTTTTTCAGTTGTAAAACCTTGTTTTAATGTAATTTTTAATGTAATTTTAAATTTTAAATGTTTCTACCACTATTTTTCATTTTTATTATTGTTAAATAATTTATAACCTAAATCTTTAATTGTTATTTAAAATAGATGGGTTTAAACATCTATAAAAATTTTATTCATACATCCGTTTAGGGGTCGTTCATAAATTACGTCACGCTTGAGAGGGGTGGAGGAGGGATTAGTGGTTTTGTGAGGACTCATACGGGGCTTGTTACTAAAGTGTTATAATGTCGTGACAAGGTAAGGGGGGGGAGAGGGGCAAAAACAGTCACAAAATTACGTGGCGTAATTTATGGATGACCCCTTATCCGTATGTAAGAAAGAAAGGTATCCATAGTAACTAAATAAAAATAACTATCACTTTCATAAGAAGCGCAACCTCATATTGGTAAATGCAAAATAAGGTACCCAAGCAGCATAAAACAGAAAATAGCACCTTCATAAGAAGAATATTAGTACTCATGCCAATTTACAACTGTTCGTTACAGAAAGTAGAACAATGTTTTAGAAATATGCTTTACAGAAGATGGTTCTTTTTGTTGATGTCATGGTATGTATGGGCTATTTACAGAATTGTCTCAGACGTATGTGGCATCTGGCTGGTGTTTCTTCATTCATTCATCACAGAAAAGCCCAAAAGCAATACTTTTGCATAATGGAAATCTTAAGCCATTCATCTCTATTGAATTTTCTGTTTATCTTAAACAGACATTTGATATTATGAATATAAAAATTATAACAAATAAGAGAGTCATCAATAGAACATCTGCTGAAATATTAAAGTTTTAAGTTATTGTAATGGGTACGCATGGATTTACAAAAAATATTGTTGTTTTTTTTGCCTGTGGGAAACATGGATTTACAAAAAATATTGTTGTTTTTTTTGCCTGTGGGAAAGTTGTGCCAAAATAAAACAACACAACAAATGCGACTGGGCACTAAAGTCTAAATATGTTCCAGAAACAAGCAGTGCTTAATCTTTTTAGCTTATTCTCAAAAGATCTTCTTACCACCATTCCATACTAAACATAAGCAAAGTCAATTCACTTGTGTTCCAAAACCTTTCTGAAAAATTAGAAATGTATTGAAACGAGAAAATGTGGAAGAAAAAGTCCGATGCATATAAGGATAAAGTTAAAAAACTCATCAACTGTTATTAAGAAATGAATTGTTAAATATCTTTGAAAATGTACTTCCCGCTTTTTGATTTAGATTTCTTTCGTGAAAACCTTGGTGTAGTGAGTGACAAGCAAGACGCTTTAATCAAGACAAAAAAGTTGTGGAATTACGCTACCAAGGATTTGGGAACGAATACACGATGGGTTGTTGTTTTTTGATATTCCATCGTGAAATTCTAGACCAAACGTTTAAAAAAAAAAAGTATACTCTCAACGCTCTGAAGGTTTTGTATTGCGTATACTTTTATTTTACAAGTGTGTTCAATATTATCTTTAATGTAAATGAGTTGCTTGCAGAAGGTGAATGAAAGAAAGCACAATTAATGTTATTATGAAAAAATAATAGGTAAATATTGTTTACAAACATGATAATCTAATGTGAATACGCTAAAGAGATTGTTTATATTTGAGAAAAAGAAGAAGTCCGAGATTCGCTCTATTGCGATTACTTAAATAACATTAAAACATTTAAATCCACTTTAAAATATTTCCAGTTATTCCGTAAGGTTTGATTTTTCTCATAAGAATTTTTTTTCGGTTTTTTCAAACGACTCAATAATACTATGTGTTAACTTGAGAGTTGTGTGTTCTGTAGATGCATCTTAAATTGTAAATATAGGCACACATTTTATTATTAAACTATTTATTTCTTTTCAAGTAAGCTAATGAAGATATTTGGACGAGGAACCAATGATCTTATACTTCAAGTCTTATACTTCAAGTTTTTGTGAAATAGTTTTATATAAATAAAAAATAATTTATTCCATACTTTTTATGCCTAATATTATTTTCTTACTTTATATTATTTTCATACTTAACATTATTTTCATACTTTACATTATTTTCATACTTTATATTATTTATGTTGATAAGCATTATTTGAAATCATTATTTGAATAACTTTTTTTTTTTTTTTTTAATTTTTTTGATAAAATTTTTTTATTTAGTTATTTAATTTTATTTCTTTTTTTCACTTTTCAACTTCATTTTTTGTAGCGATCTCATCGTCTGAAACAAATTCATCATTTGTAATGTCTTGTAGACCAATAAAAAAAATATTCTTTTGATATTATAGTTACAATGCACACTAATTTATCTTTACTGTTCGTGCTCAGACCTCCACAAACATACGTCACTACTCACATTCAACCTAAGATTTAATTCTGGAGAAACTGCTGAATTACAAAATAAATATAAATTTTTGAAGTTCTTACCAATATTAGAACCATATCCACCAAAACAACCAAACGTGCCATTATCTAACGAATAAAACGTTTCTCCTGTATGGCAAGAACACAATCTAGTTTTACCGTCCCATATCGCTAACGGAGCATAGTAAGAACATGTTGCATGATCAGGTAACTTCAATGCATCTCCTAACCAACTTCGCTCAATGGTATCGTAACAAAACACAAAACAAATCCAGTTTAGAGTTAAAAGATTGAAAATTCTTGGCATTTCAACATTTGCATATTGCTATTCAAAATTTAACACCAACTTTATTTGAATTTTTTTAGACAAATATCAAGTGACAAATGTTTGCCTAAAATGGAATTTGACGAAGAATGATAACGTTTGTTTAAGAAATTAAAGTGTTATCTACGCACGAAATGTATTTTAAAAATTTGAGTGTTATCTGGGCGCAATAATGTTAAAAAAAATATATCAAAAAGTATTCAACGTTTTTTTTTTTTATTTGGGTTTTTATTTTATTTTTTCTTAAAAAGATAAAAAATATTAACCAGTGTGAGGAATATAGTTTTTTTTTTTTTAAAGTAAACGAATAAAAAATTTTTAAAAAATTGCATTTGCTATATTTGATATATAACAAACTTAACATACCGTTAGCAAATTATTTGTTGTTTCCGTGAAGTTTTTATTAAGAAAAATACCGAGAAATGATAAAACGGAATTTTTTTCAATTCGATCAATCAAAAGGTGAGGCCTATATCCTGTAGAAGTTTTTTTTTTCCTGAGAAAATCAAAAATATCCGCATTTTTTTTTAATATTCAAAGTTAATTTACTACATTTGAATCAGCCTGAATTTAATTTCGTGTTCATTTTATGATTATGTAAGAATTATTTTTGTAGAATTTATAACAAACATAAATAACAAACGTTATACTTTATATTAGTTTTTTATTTGCACATAAATTAAAATATTTTTTGGAAAATAAATAAAATAAAAACGAATTTTTTTTGGTTTGACTAACATATTTTATTGATATTAATTGTAAAACTGAAATTAAAAAACGGGGCAAATTGACTATATTCTTCTGCTTGCTCCACTCAATTTTTTTTTAACACTTTTTTTTAAGATAAAAAGTGGTGCGAAGATAAAACTTTTAATATAAATTTGTTTTATTGTTTTTTGTGATTTAAGCAAGACTGACTTATTAAAAAATTAAATATAGTCCTTAAATAGGTTAATAATTTCATAAAATTTGGTCAAACTATTTACCTTCAATATGATCCAATATATTGGCCCAGGGGTTTCCAACCTTTTTGTACTCTAGAGCACATTCTAAAATATCTGTAGGGTAGTGGGCACCACCTATTTTTACTCGGGACGGTACGAACACGTGACTATTTCAGGTTTTCTGAGTGTACAAGAAGTGATGTGCGAATAGCACTTCCCGTTCCAGGCTAGCGTCTGGCTCGCAACTATACAAGTTGCGACAAGTACTATCAGCAAAGGAAACACTCATACATACAATATCGCAAACATATGAACGTATTTAGTAAACCTAGGTACTCAAAAAAATAAAAACTCTAACAAATAAATAAAAATATTTAACATTTTAAATAAATATTAATGAAATTTTTTTTTCAGTTAAATAGTGGCGGGCATATGCAAATCGTTCCGCGAACGCGATGGTGCCGCGAGCACAGGGTTGGGAACCCCTGTATTAGCTTAATAATTATTATTGTTAAAAATCTGTTCCGCTCATATGACAAAACAACCCTATAAGAACAAGTATGCACAAAAATTTTTGTTACAATTGTGTACATATTTAGATACGTTGGCCGGGGGTCTTTCAAATTTTCGGTGTTTTTGGCACCAGCTACAGGTGCCATTTTACAAAATTGTTGTTACAAAACATTTAAAACAATTGTTACAAAAATTAAAAAAAAAATTGTTGTCTTTTTCAGTTAATTTTGTTATTTACTTTATCTATATGAAGTTAAATTTATAAAATATTGATATTTACTCAAAAAAATACTTTCAGGGGTTTTCCACCTTAAGTGAATTAATGCTCTTTTCTTAAATACAATATAATTTAAAAAAAAAATCTAGTACTCCTATAAAAAAAAAACAGAAATAGTTTACATTATTTAAATAGCTCAAAATTTGCAACACTAAATTTTCTTTCGATTGAAATATTTATTTCGTCGTTTTTATTGCATCGCATTCTGTAAATGTTTTAGGTTGACTCGGCAGTTTTCCTTTTATCTGTAAACACAAATAGTTGTTAGTTTACTTAACAAAACTAATATGTACAAATCTGTTTACGAAAATTAAAAAATATATTTTGTAAACCGTCGAGGATAGTGCAAGCTTGCGTAACTAGCATTGGATAATAAAACTAAAATCTGACAAATTTAGCCATTAATAATGCCATTAATAAAACCAATTAGTAATGAGCATATAAATTAATAACTTTAACACCTAATATATATTGTTGAAATTAGAGAGAACATGAATAAAACTCTCTATGAAATTTTGAAATATTGAAAAAAGAAATAAAGGTTTATCCTTCTACTGTAATCTGTATTTGTGGATACGCTGTATTATCCAATGCTAGATAACGCGGATTTGCACTATCCCTGACGAAATAATAAAACAATACATGCCAGAAAAAAAAACAAAAAACCGTACATAAAACATACCTGTACATAATTAGCGGGTATAAGACCTTTCTTTTTATCAATTGAGGCCAGTAGCCATCCTCTTACATGTGGTTGACAAGCTTTAGGCGCAATTCTTATTATATCTCCTTTACGAAAAGATAGTTCATCTCTATTTCCAGCTTGAAAGTTATACTTTGCTTCAGCCAAAAAATGTTCACCAACACCTAAAACAAAAAAACAAAGAACCTTTACCAAAAAAAATAATTTTGAAATATTATCCATCAATACAATATAAAGTTCAGTAATTTTAGATTTCTAAAAATTGAAGAAAAAACAAAAAAAAAAACAATCGTCATTGTTTAATCACAACTGTTTTATAAATTATCACAACTAAATTATAACAAAATTATAACAAAAGATATCGTCACTGTTTTATAGAGCATACACATAAATGAGGTGCGTGTGTGTGTGTGCGCGCGTGTAGTTCTAGTATTTATAGGTGCATATGTTTTTATATACTTACATAAGCTTTATAGTTTTTTTTCCTTAGACAGTTATATACTTTAACTTTTTTTTTTTACTGATATTTATTAAGAAGTTTTAGGTAGTGAGGTAGTTATTAAGCATAGATGTTTCAGGTAGTGAGGTTGTTATTAAGCATAGATGTCTCAGATAGTGAGGTAGTTATTAAGCATAGATGTTTCAGGTAGGTGATGCATGACTATTCAGGTGCTTTCTATTAAATAACCTGTTTGGAACCTTTTTTCTTTACTTCCCTTACTTGGAGCCTTTTTTCTCAGTTTTTTCTTTACTTCCCTTACTCTAATCTTTTAATGCAAATATTTGCATTTTTACGATACATAATATGTGCTTGTTTAACAAATGCAAAAGTAAAACTTAAGGAAAATAAGTAAAATAATTTAAGAACATAAAACATCAAAAAATTTTATATTTGTTTAATAAGTTTTTAAATTTTTATTAAGAGTTTTCTTTGAGATTCGTGTCTCTAAATTTTTATTAAGAGTTTTCTTTGAGATTCGTGTCTCTAAATTTTTATTAAAAGTTTTATTTGAGATTCGTGTCTCTAAATTTTTATTAAGAGTTTTCTTTGAGATTTGTGTCTCTAAATTTTTACTTTGAGATTCTTGCTATCCAAAACACGACTACAGTCACTGCAGAGGAAGATGTCTCTGGAATACGCTTGGACTAGTTTTTAGAACCAGAAGTCAATAATAAATCCATGCATAGGTGTTAAATCCAACATGGTTTTCTAGAGTATGGAATTTTTATGCTATATTATCTTACATTCATTACTCAGCTTTGTTTTCATTTTCACATGCACAAATTTTGTTTTTTTTATTATTCCTATTATTATTCCGAATATTTCTTATATCCTTCACTACATGTTTAAATTTTTGTGGGTGACATTTTTGATGGCTTTTGTGCAACGTTTGCTATCATAAGATCATTTGATTATTGTAATTATTTTGGGTTGTGCAGGTTGCTTATTTTACACTTTTAATTGGTTAACATAATTTGATTGAGGTATCTATGACAGCGTTAGAGTTCATTGAAGACTTTATTGTGTTTTGCTGATTTTTTTTTTTTTTAATTTTAACAAGGTATACTGCTTTCTGATTAAAAATATTGGTGCTTTACAAATTTGGGAATTGTTGGGTTTTGGCTATTTGTAGTGAGTCCTTTTTTAGTGATGGAATAGGTGTAAGTTGCAGGGTAAAGCATAAGTGACATTTGTCTGACAGGATAAACTAGTTATTAACACTGATCTCATCAAAACGCCAGTAATAATAGACACAACTCTGAGATGTTTATTACTTAATCACTACACAAATTCTGTTTACACCTTAGCATTAATGTTTTTTTTTTTCCATTCTTAGGCCTCACATTGATTTATGCATACTTTTTATTTTGTAGCTAATATTTTGTTTGTATGTTGTTGTTTGGTGATAATTTGTTGTATATCTTTGTTTATCTTAAGTTTTAATAAAACATTTAGTGTTTATTTTTTATTTTTGTATGTATTGTTTAGGTGTATTGCCTGTTTTATTTTTATCATCATATGAGTACATTTTTAAATATTCTTATATTAATCTTTATTTTTTTCTCGACAACTGTCAAAATATGTTTTGTTCGAAAAATAATTCTCCTCTATTCTAATGTACTTCGTTTTTCCGTTCACTGCTCGTGTGTGACCAATCAACAAATTTATAAGCTAAAGTTTTTAAGTTAGATATAAAAAACATTTCAGAAAATGCATATAGATGTTAAGATATATAAACATCTTGTTTCAGAAAATGCATATAAATGTTAAGATATATTCTAATGTACTTCGTTTTTCCGTTCACTGCTCATGTGTGACCAATCAACAAATTTATAAGCTAAAGTTTTTAAGTTAGATATAAAAAACATTTCAGAAAATGCATATAGATGTTAAGATATATAAACATCTTGTTTCAGAAAATGCATATAAATGTTAAAGATATATAAACATCTTGTTTCAGAAAATGCATATAGATGTTAAGATATAAAAACATCTTGTTTCAGAAAATGCATATAGATGTTAAGATATATAAAAATCTTGTTTCAGAAAATGCTTGTAGATGTTAAGATATAAAAATATCATGTTTCAAAAAATGGGTAGACAGATTACCTGAAAAATATAAATTGTATAAACCAGGAAAAGGATTCCAGATCATTGATGCTTGAGTAAAAAAACAGAGCTTTTTTCAGCATGAAAAAACAGTTACAGTAAAAGAGTGCAACTTTGCGGAATAATGATTCATTCAAGATTTTGTTTAGTAGAACAAGAGATTTGAGCAGCAGCTATGTAGATGTAGCAGGTATGTAGATACAACTACTTTAGTTCTACATATCTTGTTTTGATACAACTACATTTACAATGCATTTTTTTGAACTTGTCTAGAATAGAAAAGATATAAATAGAGGATAAAATATGAACACAACACTCCAAGGACAGAGGTTTCTAGAGGTAAAAAATGAAACCAGAAGTATAAAAAATGGCAAGTGTTATATCATAACTTTTAATGAGAGGTCAATAATAAAAGATAGTTCAAAATAAAATAGAGAATTTAGGAAAAATGAACCATTTATCAATATAGAAAAATTAACAATTGTTTAACAATTATCAGCGGTAAACAACTTTTATTTACCAACCACTCCCAGTAAAGTTACCTAATGACACTAATGACACTATTAAAGATTTTCCTAAAGTCTCCAAAACCTAACTTTTGAAATCTAAAAATAATGAACCTTAACATTAGATAATATCTGCTAAGCTGCTAAGCCTCTTTCCCATTGTCAGAAAGTTGCATCTCTTTTTCTTTTCTATAAATACTACCATGGTCACTGCTCAAAGGAGTTATCATCTCTAGTTCCATAAACTAAAACTCATTCTTGCTAGACTCGTCATGCAGCAAAGTCTCATTATTTTACTGTATCTGTCCGTGTATGCTCTAAAAACTTTTATTTGTCTAAAAACTATTATTATGACTCATACAACCTTTAACTTTTTTAGTCTTCTGTCAACCGTTTCCTTGCCCTATAACTCTATTTTTCTTTTCTTCTAGTAACTCCCAACTTAATAGTAGTTACTTGCAGCCTTGTTGGGAGTGAATCAGAACAAAAAAAAAAAAAAAAACTTTTTGGATAAATTTTTTACAATGATAAAAAGATGTTGGTTCCCAGGATATATGTTATAGTAAAAAAGATGAGTTGATTAAAATAAAAAAATATCAGTTGTACAAGGAGAAGAGGGTAGAGTAAGGCTTGATCTATAACTCTCAAGAAAACCAAAAGCTTCCATCCAAAGATTACACAGGAAGCAATTTTTTAAAAAAAGACATTATCCTAAAAATTAAAATAACAAACAAAAATCTCATTAAACTTCAAGGTGGCAGTAAGAAGTTCGATAATAGGGTGCAGTCTTTCACAAGAAGACGTGTGATCATATGTCTTTATATGACCATGCAAAAAATAATTTGTTTTGACCACAATTTGATCACAGCTTTTGACATATTTTCAAAATATAAAAATGCGCTACAAAAACTTACCTTATATATACCTTATATATATATATATATATATATATATATATATATATATATATATATATATATATATATATATATATATATATATATATATATATATATATATATATATATATATATATATATATATATATATATATATATAACCCAACTAAAGCAAAACTCATCAAACTAAAATCTTTAGTCTACTTAATTTACGCATTAAAAAACCATTTCATTCTTTGTTTTAACAGTTTATTAATACTTATTTTATTTATTTTAAGTTCCTTCATTGAAAAGTGTTTTGATAATATAAAAGCATTTAAGATCAAACTTATTTAATTGTAACTGCTTTCTAAAACATTTTTTTTTTTTTCAAAGAAACTTTGTTTATCTTTTTAAATGTATTAACTTTAATTATTCTTATATTAAAATTCTTTAAAGAGACTTTCATTGTTGTAGAATGTCATTGTTTAAAAAAACAAAACAATTTTTTATTTTTTAATAATGTTTATTATAGCAATGCATACTTGAACAATTTATAGATTATAAATTAAAAAAATATATACAACTGCCAATTATATTTAAAAAAATAACCATTATCAGTAAATCGCTACTATATTTAAACGCGTTTTGCTAATATAAAAACATTTGTTAAGAAGTTTTGATGTAATTTATTTCACTTATTCAGAATATTTTTCATTTAGCATGTTTTTAAAATGTTTTTTAAAACAGCCGCAGTCAAACTGTCATAGCAAAATGCAATTTGCCTGGTCATATAAAGACATGTGATCGCACGTCTTCCTATAAAAGACTGGGGTAAATCTGATGTAGAAAAAGTATGAGATAAAAAAAATTAGTAAAATAATAGCATTGTCTGAACCAACTGAAAGAACTCAGTAGAATGGAGAAAAAATGGATTTTAAATTGTTTGGAAAACAAATTTCAAAATTAACTCTCAAGATAAACAATTGAAAGAGATAAATCTTTGAACTTTTTTGCTAGCAGGACCGGTGGTATATCTAAATAACAACCTGATGGCAACCTCTAAAAGATTGAGGTCGGCAATAATTTGCCGACTTCAATCTTTTAGAGGTCCGCAAAAAATTACCATAAAACATCGAAACAAGATCAGCAAGTTCTTACCGACCTCAAACACTTTTAGGTTGGCAGTTAGGTCAACATTGCCAAATGCTGACCCTAATTCCAAGGGTTGTAGAATATATATATTCAAAACCAATAGCAATAAACATGGATTTCCCTCAGACATAACCAATCCTTTTAAAGTTTTTCAAAAAATTAATTAAGCTAATTTGGGGAATGCATTCAATTAAAGATTAAATTTAATTGGAAAAAGATACTATTGTTTAATAACTATTAAAATTACCTAAAAATTTTCAAACTCTTTTCTTATAAAGATTTTCCTATAGAATTCAAATTGTATGTTCAAACCATGAGTTTAAATGTGGCTATTAGTTTTTTAATGTGTTGTATGTAATTGCAGTTATATCGGCATAACTACTTGCCATCTCAAGATGTAGATATCTAAACATTACAGAAAAGACAAAAAGTCTATAAAAATCTCTGTGCTAACAGTATTCTTGCAATTTAATGACAATTATTTTTCTATTTTAGATTCAAGTTTGAAACCAGTTTAAGTTAAAACTAAAAAGAAGTATGATAGCAAAAAGTATGATAGCAAAACCTGGGATAAAAATACAGGTTAATCAAAATGAAAGATAAAAATTCAAGTTTTTTTTTTTTTTTTTTTTTTTTTTTTTTTTTTTTTTTTTTTTTTTTATATCTTCACTTCCAACAAGGCTGCAAGCAACCACTATAAGAGTTGGAAGTTACTGGAAGAGAAAAGACTAAATCTGTAGAGCAAGATAACGATTGAAACGATTTAAGTTATGTCATAACCTGTATTTTCTTATATTCCTGTTTAGTTTTTTACTTTCTTTATATATATATATATATAAAGTTGCATCTCTTTCTCTTTTCTACTATTATGGTCGCTACTCAAAGGAGCTATCATCTTTATTTCCATCAACTAAAACTCAATCTCGCTTGACTTGTCATTCAGCAAAGTCTCATTCTTTTACTGTATCTGTCCCTGCATGCTCTAAAAACTTTTATTTATCTAGTTTTTCCTCCCACACTTCAATGCTTTGGAACTCTCCCCCAACTTTGTGTTTTCCTGACTCATACAACTTTCAACTTTTAAAGTCTTTTGTCAACTATTTCCTTGCTCTATAACTCTATTCTTTTTTTCTGGTAATTCATAACTTAATAGTGGTTGCTTGCAGCCTTGTTGGAAGTGAATCAGAACATAAAAAAAATAATAATAATTTACAAGTGACTATCAAAAAAACATTTGAAAAACTTTGACAGAATCAAGAGGTATTTTATTAATGTCCAGCAAAAATTGCAAAAAGTTGACATTAAAAAAACAAAATTTTGTTTGAAAATTGGTACCATTAATTATAATTTAGAAGTTTCATCAAGCCGTTTGTGTGACTAATGTAATTATATAATTCAAGATGATAATTTGTTAATTTTTTTTTTCTTTTTTGCCTGGTTTGCTATTGGATACTTTATTTATATACTATAGTCAGGGGCTATTCTAGATTGCGCAGACCCTATTTGGACGCCGCCCAAATTAAAATTTGAGTACCTTTTCTTTTTCTTTAACATTTTTTTTACGTTTTTACAGCAACAACTGTTATTTTCACGGAAAAAAAACACAGATTTTCCAAAAGTCCGCTGAAACGAGGGGGTACTGCCGCCCAAATATTTTTTCTAGAATAGGCCCTGATAGTGTATATAATTCAGCAACTGCTCACCTATTTTTCTTATCATTATAGCTTTTTTAGAAATTTTTTAATTATCTGTACAATTTTTTTAGAAAAAGAAGAAAAAAAAACAAACAAAAACAAAGAATGAAAGAAAAGATTGCTGCCCCATCCCAAACCCACAGCTGATGTACTGGCACACCTTGGGCAGGTTATAAAATGTATGTGCTGAAACATGCGTTTATACTTTATGACTCCAAAGTTTTACACATATTTGACAACTGCCTTAGGTGTGAAGCTCAGTCATGTTTCTTTAATTACCAGATTAAAGTTTCTAATTTTAACTAACCTTTTTGCCAATCATCAACATTATCACAGCTAGACAAATTTTGTAAAAATTTCCAAAGCAACCAAGGTCCGCCTAACATAATACCAAAAAAAATTAGAAGAGGCCAGTGTTTGGTTCCAATTGTCTCAGATGAAGATATTGCTGCATTTTGATCTAAAATATTTTTTTAACAAAATTTTTAATCTTTATTTAAAAATCAAAAATATATTTACATTTTTTTAAATTTAAACTTTATTTATACTTTTATATATTTAACATCATTTTTAAAATTTTAAAAGTAAAATTTTAAAAGTAAAAATTCTTAATTATATGATTTCAATAAATCAAAAGATACCCCATATTTCTTCTGGAGTAAGTCCTTTTTGAAGTCTAACTGTAACTAGCAGCTTGCGTAGCAAAGTATTTATTGTTCTTATAAAAGAATAAGCGCTGTTAAATAGATGTTCTCGTAGACCACTAATTTGGTCAGCAACACCTGATGTAAAATTTTTGTTGTAAAGATTTTTAATGTTTTAAATTTTCATATTGATATTTTTTTTAAAAAAAGAACATTTTCATAACATATTGTATACACAAAAACATGAATAAAAATGACTAACTAGCAATAGCTCTTATTGAGTTTTGAGCAGCAAAAAGAGTTGACTCTAGCATCATGCTAACTGAACTAAAAGCCTGAACAACAGATTCCACTGATTGAAAAGCATTACGAGTTACATTTTCAACTCCATTTAATACTGAGCCATCTCCTGCAATATTTCCACGATAACTGTATGCTTTAAACCAAAAAAATATATACTTTTATAAAAAATTTAGTTTATTTCATTTTTACTTTTATAAAAAAATATTATGAGGATGTCTTATTATTATTTCTTCTTGTTTGAGTCAATAATTAATATCAGTGAATTTTTTTCCATTGTTAGCATTATTTGCACCAAATAAAGTCTAGCCCAGATGGTTCATTTGATTCAATAAACTTTTTAAAATAATATTTTCTTCATTTTTTTCTTTAATGAAAAAAAAAAATTGCTATTAAATTATTTTATTAAGTGAAAAAAATATTACAGGGGTGGGACCGCAAAATGTGAACGTTTTTGTTTTATTATAACTATTTTCTCGTTAGATGTAGTTGAGTTTATTTGATAAAAAACGAAAGACAAAGTACTAATGAATATGTAAACAAAGTAAAATATAATATGTAAAAAAACAAAAATTGAACATTTAAAATAGTTCATATTTAACAGAAAATTAATTATTACAATCAGAAAAGTGTTCACATTTTGCGGTCCCACCCCTGTATTTACAAAAATTTATTGAATCAAGTGAACAATTTGAACTGGAAAACAATCTGTCCTTAAACGATGGAAACTTTTATTTCTAAATCTAGGACTACCAGATGCATTTTTTGGTAGTGTTTAAAGAGTTTTTTAGCTAGCTTTAATTTAACCTCATGTAACCATTTTATTAATTTTGAAAATAGAAAACCATCTTTAGAAACTTTGTAAAAACACAATTGCAGAGAAATGTTATTCACAAATTTCATATGTGAATAACATTTCATAGGTGAAAAACATTTCATATGTGAAAAACATTTTAAATGTGAATAACCCTCAGAAAACAAGTCAATTTTCATGATGATTTTAAGAATATGTCTTTTTTTCATTTTATCAAACCTAAACTTAATTTTACCATAGCATCATTAGCAAATAATATTCATAAATATCAATCACTGTTATAACAGTTACCTGTCATTGGATTATACATTCCACCATAACCATTATACATTCCACTATTATATCCTTAGAAAAAAAAAAGAAAAAAATTCATGAAAAAAAAAGTTAATCATTTTCAAATTATTATATAATTGAGTATGTAGGTTATTAGTATTGGAATAATATTATTCATGTATACAACCCTTGAAATTATGGTCAGCATTCGGCAATGCCGACTTAAAAGCAGGGTTGGCATTAAATAATCTGCCTAATAAAACCCAAAAAAATCTGTTTAAAAAAACCCAAAAAACCCTGGAAATTCTGGGTTTTATTGGGATTTTTTAAAGATATTTAATAAGTTTATGAACTATTATAACCAACTTTAACATTATAACTATAATATTATTAACTAAAATAATTAACTATTATTATTAAATAAATTATTATTAACTATTATTATTAACTATTATAACCAACAATAACAGCTATCAGAGCAGGTTTACTATTATTTGAATCATTCAAGGTTGGCAAAAACCCGGGTTTTTTTAAAAAAACCCGGCCCAGTGGGTTTTTTTGGGCTTTATTGGGTAAATTTGGGTTTTTTTGGGTTTAGTTTTTATTTTGTCTCTGTAAAAAATTTTTTTGTGTCTTTGTTTAATAATATTGAAAATTAGTTTTTTTCTACTTTAACTTTATTTAAAATATATTTTATATATTGTTGTTTAATTATTTATAACAAGAATTTTTCGAATTATTTTGAAAATGATTTTTAAATATAATTTAAAAATGTAACAGAAAAAAAAAATTTCACGCTTAATCTATATCTATTGATTTATTTTAAATTTAAAAGTATTATTCTATATAACTAAAAATGTCAATGAGAAAATGTGAAAAAGAAGGCTTGAGAATGGGAGGTAGTAACTGAAGTTTCAATTAAACTTTGAACTTGAAATTCAAATGAACAAACTTGTTCCTCTGCGCAGCGGCCTTGTTTATAAAGATTCATGTTTAGGAGTTAAAGAGTTTTTGTTTTTTTTAATCAATTCACCTCCTCAAAGGCCTTAAGGCCACTACTGTCGTTTTGTCACTATAGATGAAACCTGGGTACACCCAGGTTTCATCCATAGTGACAAAACGACATAAAAAATCTTTTTTATTTTTTTGAAAAAACTCCAAATTTGTGAAAAAGCTCCAAAAAGATTCACTCAAAGTCGTTTTTGATCAGAATTTAAGAAATGTGGCACGCACTGTGCACAAAGCTTTCTGAGGCCTAGCACATTTTTCAAAGTATGAAGTACTCACTCAAAGTTAAAGTTCTGTCATTCATAACCATATCATGAATGGTTATGAATGACAGAACTTTAATAATCATTTCTTCAGAAGTCGCACTTTTTGGACGTCCTGAACGAAGGTTAGTGTGATAGCGTTTAAATTTAATGCCCACTTCTAGGTTAGTGTGATGGCGTTTAAATTTAATGCCCACTTACGGACCATTGTTTTAGACAGAGCAGCATCCCCTAATATATATATATATATATATATATATATATATATATATATACAACCCTTGGAATTAGGAAAATTGAGGTTGGCAACCTTTGATACAAAGGTCTTACCATAAACATCAAAACAAGATGGGCAATTTTATACTGATCTTGTTTTTTTACACTTTTAAGGAGGGTTGGCAAATACCCGGGTTTTTTTAAAAAAAACCGGCCCAGTGGGTTTTTTTTGGGTTTTATTGGGTAAATTTGAGTTTTTTGGGTTTAATTTTTATTTTGTCCCTGTAAAAAATTTTTGTGTGTTTTTGTTTAATGATATTGAAAATTAGTTTTATTTTCTACTTTAACTTTATTTAAAATATATTTTATATATTGTTATTTAATTATTTATAACAAGAATTTTTCAAATTATTTTGAAAAAGATTTTTAAATATAATTTAAAACTGTAAAAGAAAAAAAATTTCACACTTAATCTATATCTATTGATTTATTTTAAATTCTTTTTTTTTCCTAGTAACTCCCAACTTAATAGTGGTTGCTTGCAACCTTGTTGGGAGTGAATGCAAATAAAAAAAAAAAATTTAAAAGTATTTTTCTATATAATTAAAAATGTCAATGAGAAAATGGGAAAAAGAAGGCTTGAGAATGGGAGGTAGTAACTGAAGTTTCAATTAAACTTTGAACTTGAAATTCAAATGAACAAACTTGTTCTGCTGCGCAGCGGCCTTGTTTATAAAGATTCGTGTTTAGAAGTTAAAGAGTTAAGAAAGGATTGTAACCACAACAAAGTAGCCTCCTCGACTGTTGCGTTGGCTTCTCTGTTCACTGCTACTCATTTAAATTCAACTTGGGAGGTGAATAACATAAAGTAATAAAAATCTCAATCGATAAAAATATTTGAATAAAAATTGTAATAATGTATTTCCAAGTAATGATTCCAGGGTTGGCATTAAAAAAACCCGCCCAATAAAACCCAAAAAAACCCGCCTAAAAAAACCCAATAAAACCCTGGAAAATCTGGGTTTTATTGTTTTTTTTTAAAAGATATTTAATAAATTTATGAACTATTATAACCAACTTTAACATTATAACTATAATATTATTTACTAAAATAATTATTAACTATTATTATTAACTTAATTATTATTAACTATTATTATTAACTATTATAACCAACAATAACAGCTATCAGAGCAGGTTTACTATTATTTGAATCATTTGGAAATACATTATTACAATTTTTATTTAAATATTTTTCGAGTTCGATCCCCACCACGTCCCTGGCAGTACCGCGCTCTTTTTCTCCTTTCTCCGAAAAATATTTTCGGAGAAAGGAGAAAAAGATATTTCTCCTTTCTCCGCGCAAAAAATATTTCTCCTTTCTCCGCGCAGCGGCCTTGTTTGTCAAGGTTCGTGTTTCGGAGTTATAATTCCAAGCTGCGACAACAAACCTCAGAGTGGACTTAACCTATTTGTTCAGCCCCAAAATGACCAAAAAGGTCTAAATCATCTAAAAAGATTACGGCATCTGTTTTCTGGGATGCAAAGGACATTTTGTTGATTGATTATCTTCAAACCGGTAAAACCATAGTAGGAGAGTATTATTCAAATCTGTTGGATAAGTTAAATACAAAAATGAAGAAATTTATCTTTTTCCATCAAGACAACGCACCAAATTGAACAACTTACGGTATGAATTGATCAAGCATCCACTTTACTCTCCCAATCTAACCGCTTTAGACTTTTTTTTAAAAAAACATCTTCGCTTCCAACAAGGCTGCAAGCAACCACTAATTAGTATTGGAAGTTACTCGAAGAGAAAAGATGAAGATTGTAGAGCAAGATAACAATTGACAGACAACTTAAAAGACTGCTACTTATATGAATCAGGAAAGCAAGATGAAGGAAGCGAATTCCAAAGAACTGATGTTCAAGCAAAAAACTAGAGGAATAAGAGTTTTTGGAGCACTTAGAACAGTCACAGAAAAAGGATGAGACTTAATTAAATGATGAGTAACACGAGAATGAATTTTAGTAGATGGCTAGAGACGCTAGCTCTTTAGTGCAGTGCTCATTATAGTATTTGTAGAAAAGAGAGAGAAGCAACATTACAACAATGTGATAATGGTTGAAGTTTGGCTGCAAAAACAGGTCCACCTATGTTTACAACGCGTTTTTGTCTAAAAGAGAATGGGCATCATTAGAAGATCCGCCCCAGATATGGCAACAGTATTCCATACAAGACCGGATTTGAGTATTATAGAGATAGATAATAGAGTCCAGAGTAAGGAAGAGTCTTAAAAAAATTTCCTTGTGGAAAGTTTTTCTTCAAATGAAGAAGTTATAGCGACTGTTAACCAATATTTTGACAAGTTTCCAGAAAAACATTTTAGAGATGATATAACTGAATTGGAAAATCGTTGGAGAATGTATGTATTAAAGTTAAGGGAGAATACACTTAAATGTATTAAAGTTAAGGGAGAATACACTGAAGTTTTGCTTTTTTTTATCCCGGCTCCGCGAACTTTTAACTAAGGGACCATCCATAAAGTATGTACGCAGGTATGGGGGGAGGGAGTTTGCCATATGAACGCATACAAGGGGGAGGGGGTGTTAAAGACATTGAGTACATACACGTTTTGACTATCTCTCCTAAACTTGATTTTATTTTTTTTTAAAAACATTCCATGTGTGTTACAAATTAAAATTATTCTTTTTTCTGACTTCAGTCACAGTTTTTTTTTAAATTTCTTTATAAATAATGAGGAGAGAAAAAAGAAATGTTAAAAAGTTAATGTTAAAAAAAAAAAAAGCATACTTATACGGAGGAGGAAGGGGGGGGGGGGGGGGGCTGGGCTTTGAAGACGTACAGGTTCATACAAGGGGGGAGGGGGTTACAAATCAGTGATTTTACTGTGTACGTACTTTTTTTTTTTTAATGTCAATTCACCTCCTCAAGGCTGAGAAGGCCACTACAGTTGAGGAGGCTACTTAATTGTGGTTATAACCCTCTCTTAACTCTATAACTCCAAAACACGAACCTTGTCAAACAAGGCCGCTGCGCGGAGAAACAAGTTGAGCGCGGTACTACCAGGGACGTGGTGGGGATTGAACTTGGAACCTCTTGCCTATAAAGCCAGTGCTTTACCACTACACCACTACCACATACCACTACTTTATGGATGCCCCCTAACCTAGTGTGTATATATATATATATATATATATATATATATATATATATATATATATATATATATATATATATATATATATATATATATATATATATATATATATACAACGCTTGAAATAATTATTCGAAGGTTGCCGATCAACATTGATCGGCTGAAATAAAAAACTTAAAAACCAGACGATCAAATAATTTTTTAGACGATCAGTTTTTTATTAAATTTTACTAAAATTTACAATGCATTTTTTTGATCCTACCTTGCTTGATTTTTGTTTTGCAATTATTATTTTATAACTTATAATTAATTATTATTTAATTTATTCTCTTTAGAATTTAAGTAAATCGTTTGTTTTGTCGTTTTTCTTTTTATATTATTTTGAGTATATATGAAACAT